AGGTTTTAGTTGTGAGAACATCAAGGAAACGTCTCAGAGGAGCTTCTAGCAAAAAGCAAAGTTCAAACTCCTTTCTGTTTGGCAGTGCAATGAAGGAATACACATCATTTGTATTGATCCAGCAGGTATCAAATAATAGTGATTCTCCAACATATTCACGACTTGGGGGTTCTCCTGAGCCTATGAAGTTCAGGCGAACCCAAAACCGTCCAAATTTTGAAGCAAAAGATGGCACGCTTCCAGGAAGAGACATTTTCTTATATATTTTTTTGTATTTTTTTTTTTCACCCTTTTTCACCTTCTTCCTTTCCTCTTCCAATCATTTTCGAGTCTGTTGGGACAGGTCGTTCAGAACGAATCATCAAACGGTCAACTATAGTTGGAATAATGTTTACATTTTCTATCAGATTATTCTTCAATATTTAAGAAGAAAATTCCTCCTTTCCCTCTTCCTCTCATTTCCGGGTCTCGCTATGTCGGCTCGTACCAAATTCCTCCGGTCTTTCCTCTTCCAGACATAATTGCTTTCTCGGGTTTACAAAGTAGTGTTTAGAAACTGTTTAGCTTCGCTGGTCCCACCCTGGGGGGAAGACTAAAATCCCCTAACTCTTAGGCCAAACTAATTCACAGTATCTATTACAAGCACTTTTGTTCATGTGTAATCCATAATAAAATATCAAATTATAGTTGTATCTTTGTATCTTCTTCTTATTAACAGAGAACATGTCATGTTTTTACAACAATATACAATTAATCCTACCAATATAGATGGGAACCGGGTTGGGGGGGCCAAAACATATTTCCAATTACCCAAGGTGGGCCCGACGGAAAAAGTTTGGGAACCACTGCCCTAACTGAATAGCCCTCGACCTGAACGCACTCCTTAGGCTCTTGGGCACAAAGGAGGGGTTCGGTCTGAGTGTCGCGCCACTCCGGTCACTCCGAATCAGTAAACTATGAAGGGCCGTGTAGGCCAAAATTCAAACTTACCTTGCACACACACTACTGAAAACATCTGGCCTTGCACACACACTACTGAAATACTCTCACATTCACTACTAAACACCTCACACACACACACTACTGAAAACATCTGGCCTTGCACACACACTACTGAAATACTCTCACATTCACTACTGAACACCTCGCACACACACTACTGAAAACATCTGGCCTTGCACACACACTACTGAAATACTCTCACATTCACTACTGAACACCTCACACACACACTACTGAAAACATCTGGCCTTGCACACACACTACTGAAATACTCTCACATTCACTACTGAACACCTCACACACACACTACTGAAAATTAAGCCTCACACATATTACTGAAAATGAACCTCACACACACGCAACTGAAAATGAACCTCACGCACACACTACTGAAAACCTCTGGCCTTGCACACACACTACTGAAATCCTCTCACATTCACTACTGAACATCTCACACACACACACACTACTGAACACATCTGGCCTTGCACACATACTACTGAAATACTATCACATTCACTACTGAACACCTCACACACACGCTACTGAAAATTAACGTCATACACACACTATTGAAATCCTCTCACATTCATTACTGAACACCTCGCACACACACTACTGAAAATTAACCTCACACACACACTCCTGAAAAACATTTTACTGAAAGTTTCTCAGTAGGGAATGTGCATGTGTTTCACCTATGTGTGTGTGAGGGGATTCTTGCTGTAACGGAAGTCATTCTAATGTAACGGAAATCATTCTAATGTAACGGAAGTCATCTGCTAGTGGTCTCTTTGCTATCCCCGTTAGCTTCATTAGCTCCAGGCTGCTACTCGGACGTGTTTGTTGATGCCTGGTGGAGTATATTCCTCATTGAAATATCGCACTTATCTTATGGCTCTGCGGTTCAAACAGACCGTCCATGAATGCAGTTTATTCGGTAAGTGAAATTCAATCACTTTATTTCTTACTTGTCTTTTTATTCAGCTAACAAGCGAGACGAAGCTACATCTGTGCTAACGATGCTATCCGTAGCATACAAGTTAAAACATAATAGAGAAGTGTAAAACATTAAGAAGGATTATACTGTAAAACATAATGCTTCTCGGTGAGGTTGGTAAAATAAGGTCATGCTCAGGCATGAAAATCACTCACCTTTCGGTGAAATTCGCCGTTTTGAATCCAAAATAGGTCGTTTGTGTGATTCATGTAGATCTGCAATAACAATATTTTTGGGGTATGGGGGGGTCTGGGACCCGGAGTAATCTGCGGCCGCGAGCTGTTATGTGCCATCATGACACGCATGGTGTTATTTTTATATATATTATAATGCAGCGCGAGCTGTGTGCTCGAGTCTTCATGCCTGTCGGCTCTGCTGCTCCGCGATGATGGTCTAGCTTCAGCAGCTACATTACCTACGGGTGCGTTCGTTAATATTAACTGTGCGGTCCGGAGTCACTGTGGTACAGACCGGACCGCTGGTGAACAGCTGTTAGAACGGGCTGTTCAGGTGTTCAGAGCAGAGCTCCCTGTCGGAGCGCAGAGCGTGATGTGCACTGAAAAGTTTTTATGTCGCAATATTATCGTTGAGCTAGCTAGCTAGCATACATTGTCACTATCTGCTAACGTTAGCTTTAGCCTTCGTTTTCTAATAGTTTTTCATAGGCTATAAACGGAGGTGGTATAAGTATAGATCTTGTACTTGAGTAAAAGTAGAAGCACTCAAATCTTGTACTAGAGTAAAAGTAGAAGTACTCAGATCTTGTACTTGATTAAAAGCAGAAATACTCAGATCTTGTACTTGAGTAAAAGTAGAAGTACTCAGATATTGTACTTGACTAAAAGTACTCAGATCTTGTACTTGATTAAAAGCAGAAGTACTCAGGTCTTGTACTTGAGTAAAAGTAGAAGTACCAGAGTGTAGGAATACTCTGTTAGTAGTTGTGCATTCAAAATGTTCCTCAAGTAAAAGTAGAAAAGTATTCTCATCAAAATATAGTGAAAGTAGCGACAGTAAAAGTAGTCGTTGTGCAGATTGGTCCATTTCAGAATAATATATATGATATGTTTTATAATGATTGATCATGAGAGTGTTCTCAAAGCTGGTGAAGGTGCAGCTAGTTTGAAGTACTTTGTATACTGCAGGGTAGCTGGTGGATTTACTCCAGGTGGAACTAAAGTCTGATTCAACACTTGGTTAGATTTCACATCATTCATCCACATCTGTGAAGTAACTGAAGGTATTAATACATGTAGTGGAGTCAAAGTACACCATGTACCTCTGAACTGTAGAGGAGAAGAAGAACAAAGTAGCAAAACATTGAAATACTTAAATAAAGTACAAGTATCTCAAAATTGTACCCAAGTATAGTACTTGAGTTTATGAATTTAGTTACTTTACACCAGATGCCATAAAGATAGAAAGACTAAGCCTTGCACAGAGGCATGACAATAGATTTTCAAAATGCTCAACAGTGCTGCCAACATTATAAACTGACTGCTACACAATTAAAATAAATGCTTTTATATATTTCTATTAGATGTGACTCTTTAGCGTTTCTGTTATTATTAACACTGCTGCTTTAGTTGTTCTGACTGCTAAAATCATCTGTTATTCCTCATTTTAAAGCCGATATTCCGTGGGGTCGGGGGGCTCAGGTCCTTGTCACCTTTTCCATACCTGATGAGTTTGCATCCCTGATAATACTTAGTAAGGAGGCCATAATATTTTTGACTCATGGCTGAAGTTAAGTTTCTCCAGCTCTCCCCAGGTTGGCAAAAAAATGCATCTCAAAATGCATCAGATTGATGCTTTAAAATATGGAATATTCAAAATGTTCTTCCGGGGGAGCATGCCCCCGGACCCCCCTAGAGGGATAATATCCTTCTCACCTTTTTCACCCCTGACCCGTTTTCATGCATGCATGCTTGTACATTAGTTAGTTTGCTAGTTAGGTAACTATATGCATTGTTATTGTTAATTTAAAATAGCTATGCTCGACGATGCAGACAGCTAGCGTCACATTAGTGTTGAAGAGCAGAGTATGAGATTAACCCATAGATTAACCTCACTATAAGATCTGTGTATATGAACAATATGAATCTCACATTTCCAGTTGGTTCCAGAAATAACGTTGACGTAGATATTGCAATATGGTTTGTTGAGCTGGAGTTGATTGTTGAAGCTTACTGGTTAACGTTCATCATATTAAACGAACGAACCCAAACGTTGTTGTTTTTATTAATATTATTACCAATACTTACTTAGCATTTTATTATCATAACACTGGAGAAACCGATTTATTGTGGCAGCAGAACGTGAACATGTAACTTAATGCCTGCATTTGAGGACGAAAAATAGCTCAGTCAATGCTTTAGGGACAAGGAAATGATTTGTTTAAATATTAGATATGACGTTATGTGTGCTTCTGTGACAATGAAGCTTATTCATTGCATTACATTTGTTGAAGATGTTTGTCTTTTACCCTTACGTGTGTGTTACAAATGAATGTGAATATGGCATAGTACAAATATTTAAATTGACTGTCTCATGAAAAACGATTCTAAAATAAAAAGGACCCCAACTATACAATAATACACAATCCAACTGATAAGATACAGTAAGGGCTTTGATATCATGCACTTTTTTTTAAGGATAACAAAAAAGATTATCACATGACATTTGCATGTCAAAAAAGTCTGTGACCAACACATTGTTACTTTACATATATATATATATATATATATGTTTGTTTAGATCTGAGCTGTGTAGATCTGCTGCACTATTTACTACAGCCCGGCTGTCCGCAGCCGACTTTATAACAGTATTAAGTGAAAACCATTCAAAATATTTTACAGAATAAATTCCTTATCCAAATCCCATAAAAACACAAGACAACCAGCAATTAGACAATACCCTGTGTCGGATGAATGCAAGCTTTTTGCTTTTTTAAAAACCTAAATAAGGGTTGTTCCCTCTTGTTTTCTCTGTTAGGATAATGCTACAGAAAATGGGCTCCGGAAGGTGACTCCCTTACAAACCAAAAAAGAGAAATACAAGTATTTTTATTATTATTTTTATATTATTTTTATTCCCGGTCTGCACGTTTTACGTTGCTTAAGGTAAGTGAACATGAAACTATTCAGCAAAACTTTCAATAATAATCTAAGGTATTGAGTTTTGGGATATTACTTGCATACAAATCTATAAATGCCTTAAGGTTTCTAAAATATACAATATGTGGTAAATTCAATAGTGGACCCAGCAAAGATTCACATTTTTGCATGATTTGTTATTGATTTGTTGCTGTTACTTAATTATACTTTTAATAAATTCAAGTCAAGCTTAGTTACATGTGATGGTAGCTATATGCTCTTACCTGTGTGCCTCCTCCGCAACCAGACTGTATTCAAACTTAAAGGTGACATGTCATGCTTTTCCGGTTATTGCCCGTCCCCTTGTGTGTTATGAAGGTTTTTATGCATGTAAACAGTCTGCAAAGTCAAAACCCTCAAAGTACACCCTGTAGCGAGTAAACTCTAACACAGAAAATACCTCCCCAAAAGCCTCGTTGGAGATTTCTCAGTTTCCATTGTTTACTTCCTGCCCCGTGTGACGTGGCCGTGCAACGTCACTTCTTCTGCCAGTCGACCATATTAAGTGTCGTAAAACCTGCTTATTTTCAAAGCTCTGTCTAGTCATGTCGCGGAGGTTCTGTTGCCTGTCTTGTGTGGAGAAATCCACAATGTTTGCAGTACCGAAGGCAGAACCACGACGAAGTCAGTGGTTGACATTCCCTTTTAACACTGTTCCAGCTGATTTACCAGCCGGTACTGTTGTGTGTGCGCGGCATTTCACGGACCAAAGCTTGTTATGTTATGAAAAACATTGTTTTCATGCCAGCTACAATGAATGACCGAACGTAGCAGACTAACTGTATAATATTGCAATTGTAAGATGCTCTTGCTAAGCCTAGACTAGCTGTTAAACTGCATATTAGGTTAGCATATTAGCTGGCAAGCTAACTGTGTTGATTACTGATAGATAATCGTAGCTGGAGAATTTCGTCTGCAAACACACACGAAATACTCATAGACAGTATACTCTGGCTGATGTACGGTCAGTCGCCAAACATAATTACATTGAAGTTGGCGGTCCTAGCAGCTATGCTACTGAGCTACAAAGAGTCTGAAATATTACGCTACATGGGAAAAGGTAGCAGACTATCTGTAGAACATTGTAATTGTAAAAGTGTTGCTTTTATGAAATTGACTGTTTTCCTCGGATACAAAATTAATTGTATGAATACTATGTGTATCTTTCTTAGAGTACATCACAGCAGGAACACAATACCCACCGCTCCAGTACAGTCGGATGTCAAACAGACCGTCCACAGACTGTTTGTGTGGGAACTCAGAGGGTTGAGACACGGTCTGTGGGAACACAGACAGTGGAATGTAAAGTGTCCGCCATTTCTGTTGCTACACAGTTGGCCCGGGGAACACTGAAATCGGCCCACGTGAGAAGCAAAGGTAGACTATAACACTGACAAATCACAGATACATTACCTTAATTGTGCTTTTATTACATATGCAGCACTTGGGCTCGACCAAAAATCGTTTTTAAATGTGCTCTATAAATAAAACCTTATTTGATATTATTGTATATCACAGAAATACTGTTATGTTGACTACAAGAAATACAGTGCTGTTTGTAGTTTGTACATTTTTCATGAATTAATCTGTCAGATGTACACAAGTTGTTGGCCTTTTACAATGTATTAGTGTCTTATCTAATGTACATAGTATTTATGCACTTTTCCCTTTTTATTAACAGGCGTCCAGGCCACGGTGTCTTTCAAAAGTGTTGGCACTAAAACTTCCACCTACACAGAAATCCCCTTGTCCTCTACACCAATAAAGGGCCCAGGATTAGCAAGAGACCTCGACTAGAGTTGGAGCAGGAACAAGGAGAGACTTCGATTGAATTTGAAGAGACTCTGGATTCGAGTTACCACCCTGATGATACTGTAGAAGAATCTGACGTATCGTAAGTTTGGTATATTTGGTACACATTACTATTACTGTTGTTCAGAGTTGACATCTAACATGTATTGTTAATTTTGTTTTGTTACATTAGACTTCAGACACGATCCACGCACAGTGACGCAAAGTACATTGTGTTTGAAAGCTGCCTCGGACAGCTGTTTGAAAAATGTCCGTTTTGTAAGACAGACTGTGATGTCCAAAAACGAAAAAATGGGACTTTTGTGGCGTTCAAACAGCGTTGTCCAAACTGCACTTACTTCAGACAATGGGAGAGCCAGCCCATCATTGGAAGTACCCCGGTTGGCAACTTACAATTATCTGCTGCTACATACTTCACTGGTGCTTCCTTCTTCCAACTAAAAAATGTATTTTACCATCTTACATCCATAGCATATGAAAAATGACAGAAGTGGACTTTTTCAAATACTTGTCCTGTTTTTCTATTTATTCATAGATATGCAGAGCCATGCAGCTGGAGATCTTCCAGTATGAGACCTTCAGGAGGCATGCTAGGCATTATCTGGAGCCTGCTATTATCCACAAGTGGAAAACTGATCAGCTGAAGATTTTCCAGCAACTACACCACCAGGGGGGAAAGGTCACAGTTGCAGGAGATATGAGAGCAGACTCTCCAGGTAAGCAGAAACAGACAAGACAGTCTAGTGCCAGAGTTACTGGTGTATATTACAATTACAATTACAAGCCACACTGAATTATCTGTACAATGAAAGAATAAAAGAGAAATGAATAAGTGTATACAAATAATTAATTATTATATGAATGTTATATTTTTCAGTGTACGTGGGTGAGCTGATGAGGCTGGTGTTTGAAGAAGTCTTTGAGGACCCAACACCCTTTGTGGAGGAGATGAATAAAATCAACATCCCAAAGGACCTGTCCACTCAATTTGACAGGCCCTCAAAGGAGGAAGTGGTAGCCCGCCATGTCTCACGTTTTAGTCTAGGGGCAGTCGGAAGCCCACGTACTGTCCAGCCAGATCAGGGAACTCCTGGCGTATCCGGCGGACCACACACGACGGGATGACCACTCTGATTCCTCGTCCCAAAAAGCCCCAGCACCAGCTTACGAAGCTGCGATAGGCCAGATGCCTAAAACGCCTATAAGAGGAGGAATGGATGATAACATATATGTGCTGTCCTGTTTTTCACCCTTACCCTCTGGCTGCTTGAACAACTGAATTTCCCCACAGGGATTAATAAAGGTCCATCTTATCTCATACAGTGTATGATGATCAATTTGTACATTTATCAAAATAAAGTTTGATGGAACTACTTGATAGCCTTTCTTCCCTGAATTATTTGCTCCTAGATCATTCATATATAGCAAACCATTATTTGATTTTTCATCTAATACAGTAGTAGTTTATTATAGCTAAAAATAACTTACTCTTCTTAGGGCTGGGCGATTTTTTCGGTTTTAACGATTAATTTGCATTTTTGCTTTCCTACGGTTTGTGAAATGGCTGAACCGAAAAATCGCGATTTAAAAACATTTCTAGACTCCGCAGATTTGTTTTGCTTTAAGGGACTCCGTAGTAGCTTACTCTCTCACTTTCCAGAACACGCACAAAACTCAGCCACATTGCCTGTGACTACCCGATCTGCAGCTCTGTGTACACATATATCACTTACATTATTCAATACATCCTTTGTACTGAAGTATTCAAGAGTAAATAAAGTTTAATATAAATGATTTGCTGTGGCCAATTGTTTTCATTGCATTTACAGACCCGTGTAAATCTCTGATACCACCCAATGAATGCATTGACTTGCTTGTAGAACCACGCTACACAAAACAGATAGCAACACCCATACAAACTATTTAAAAAAAAAAAGGGGCTACTGTATCGACCTATATAAAGTATATAAATATATTTTTTTTTTCAAAATACTAAAGATATCTTGCATTTTAGCCATGCCTCATTTCGTTCCATTTGCTTTTTCGAGCGCTGTTTTTGCAGGGGGCTGATTCTGTGAGCTGCAGCTGACCACGCCCCCCTGCAGGAGAGGGGAGCGTGCTCTGAGATCAGCTGCTGGGCGGTCTGTAGAGGGGGAGGAAAAGAGATCTCCGTCCTCCGTGTTTTATTCTTATAGAAGTAAGAAGAGAAGTAATGGGGCAGAAACCCTCCTTTTTACGCAGCGGTCCAGACATAGACATCAAACGGCGACACATATTCAGTTGGCAGTTACTTTGGCATTAGGGCAGGGATATCTAGATACTTCCCAAGGTCTGACATCATGAAGTGTGCTACTTTTAAAGCAAGCAACGATGTTTTCAAATCTGTAATCAAAAAGCTCCTCAAAAACACTATCGAAGCAGTTCCTGCCGTTGCTACGTTAGTTCAAACGGTAACAACGGACTACTTTTCTTAGCGGATGCTTGTCAATTTAAATCAATACATAAAACTATTTTTTAAGTCAATAAAATCATTTCCTAAATCCATAAAAGCATTTCAATTAATATTGGGAGTCATGTCGTTACTTTGTTGAGAATGTGGCCATGTGTAATAAGCGGGATGATGTGCACATTGCATAATGTGCCTTCATGCCGATCTAGATCCCTCCGCAAAAAAAACGGCTCGTTCGCGGGCGAGAGCCGGCTCCCGTCGTTCACTTAAAAGAACCTTGGTCTGGTTTGTTTAGAAAAAAACTGAAAAAAACTGAAAAAAATCGAGGTTTAAATCGAAAATTGTCCAGTTCAGTCAGACAACTCACGTGTTCCTTTAACATGTTTATTAGAAGCAGCATATAGTTAAGTTTGGCGACTAGGCTCGGGCATCATCACTCCATAGATATACATAGCACGATGAGTGATGATCAAATAACTAACCCCCGAGCCTACAGGTGGAAGCTGGGGTGGTGGTGGGGCAGCGAGCAGCAGCGACGTAGAGGTAGCTGCAGCAATAGCAGCAGCAAGCAATGCATGGAGAGAGATCTGGCAGGTTAAATAGAGCGGCATATTAAGGAGACTCTGTTTGGTTGGTTGTAGAGTGGCAAGGGGGCGTTATGTATGAATGCAGCATAAGTGCTCGAGTTGACTGCCTGAACTAGCTCGCAGGCTTCGCCTCATTTCAGTCAGACAACTCACGTGTTCCTTTAACATGTTTATTAGAAGCAGCATATAGTTAAGTTTGGCGACTAGGCTCGGGCATCATCACTCCATAGATAGCACGATGAGTGATGATCAAATAACTAACCCCCAAAACTGCGTGGAGATTAGATACTATCCCCCAAAACTGCGTAGCCCGAGCCTGACGCTGGTGATGTAAGACTGATAAGTAGAGGGCCTGGCGAGCTGCCATGTGGCCATTCCCCCTAAGCACAGCGGCTTTAAGGGGAATATACTACTTAGTGAGACTGCTATGTGTAGGCCTGAGGAATAGCCCAGAGCCGATTCTTCCCAGAGCACAGCGGCTTTGAGAGGAATATACTACCTATATACACTACCTAGTGTTTGCTATGTGAAGGCCCGGGAACAGCCTGAAAAGCCGTCCCCCTTAAGCACCGCGACTTTAAGGGGAATATACTACCTAGTGACTGCTATGTGAAGGCCCGGGAACACCCCGAAAGCCATCCTCCCCCAGCACAGCGGCTTTGAGGGGAATATACTACCTATATATGCTACCTAATGAAACTGCTATGTGAAGGCCCGGGAACAGCCCGAAAAGCCATCCCCCTTAAGCACCACGGCTTTGAGGGGAATATACTACCTAGAGAGACTGCTATGTGTAGGCCTGGAAGTGACCAGTGCCGACCTCCCCCCCAGCACCGCGGCTTTGAGGGGAATATACTACCTAGAGAGACTGCTGTGTCTAGGTCTTTGAGGCAGCGACAATGAGCTTTCCCCCCCCAAGCATGCAGCTATGAGGGGAATATACTATAGTGAAATAAATATAATCTAACCCAGCAACCACCTGGTATGCAATAATATAATTCTACAGATATACATCTTTGAACGTTACTCATCATCGAGTAGTGCAAGAGCTCATGGTTGTTTGTGCTGCAAGGATCTCATTCATGTGAGGCATGATATAGCGCTGATGGTGGGCAGAAGATGACCGATTACTCAGGGTTGAGGTAGGCGGATATAGAGCTGCGGTTGTGGCTGTGCAGATTCTTAAACAGTGGGAATAGCGATCTGGGGGCAGGTCGCAGCTTAGGCAGAGATCACGCAGCTTGGAGGAGAACCCTCGTCGTTGGGTTTGCAGCCATCGAATAAACATGGGTGCCGACCCATGTGTCAGAGGGCAATGATGCGAGAAGTTCAGCATGGAAGATAAAGGACAAACAAAACAGTGTTAGTTTTAGCGATGATTATTCGGGGTTCCTTGACTCCGCAAACAGAAATGTCAGACATTGAATGTTTCAAAACTGTGTATATTTGATCTCCAAAGTTAATTCAGTAAGGGAGAGATTATGCTGAGGATTAAAAGGTGAGAGGTCTGTGTATATTTGCCACCTGAGAAACCAATAGAAAGCTGTAACAACTGCCTCTGACGTTTATCAATGTATAGTGAAACCCCTTTGCCTGAACTTATACATTAACCTTTGCACGGGTGCAAAGTTAAGAGGCAGTCTTTATCATTGCGTGGAGGACGTGCCTTCTTAACCCTTAAAGACCTAGACGGAATTTTCGCCTGCCTGACTCTCCTGTATTTATTTGTTTCTCCTAACCTGTTCTAACCTTTTCTAGCAGTCAGCATCAAGTGCCTTACCTCATTTGATTCAGGAGAACCTCTAGTTCAAGTCTGGTTAATTTAAAGTCCAAATGTTACCTTAACTTTGTGTGATAATGGCTGAATTTACCAGTTTTTCAAAAACGCCAGTACAAATGTTGTGGTTTTTTTTACTGTTTACTCCGACAGGAACATAGGAATTTTCTTTTTTATTATTTACAAAGCTGCATTTAGATGTTTTAGGCTTTCAAATTAAATTTAATCTGCATATTATGTTCCCTGAGTAAGTTACAGCTATTTATTCCATATTATCATAATAATAATATGGAATGATTAAAACGAAATGTATTTCCATATTTAAATGACTGATCATGTTTCTTCTGTCAAGAAAAGGTTGAGAGTAATAAATTAAACCATAACAGATGACATTGCAACAAAAATAACTTGTTTCAGAGAAATATATTATCATTTGAACATTTAAATACAAACACAAACAGTGAAACAAACTCCAAGTGCTGGAGATACAAAGTGCAAATTATCTTGAAACTATAAACAAAGTGTTAGAAATATATAGAAAGTGCAAATGTACAAAGAGCAAATGATCTTCAAACTATAAACAAAATATTAGAAAGATATACAAAGAGGAAAGGAAATGTATCAACATTTTTTAAATTATTTACATTAAATTACAATCAGACTTGATTCAGTCAATGGAAAGGTTTTACGTGCGGCTGCTATGCCACTTGCTGAAGCAATTTCTGTGAGCCACAAGACACAGTGTCACATCACACCGCGCACACTTCCAGATGGAACGTTTTTTGCAGAGCACACATTTTCGCCGACCTTTTGTTGCCGTGTCTCCCGACCTCCGTCTCGCAAATGAGTCAATTCCCTCCTCCTCCTCCTCCTCCTCTGCACAGGACATTGACTCTGGCAAGCACTGTGCCCCTTTGGGTGGCACAAAGCTGCCAATTGGGACTCCACACAGCTCTGCAGACAGCTCCTCCATGAACCGGGCGTGGGACATGGCCACTGACCCTGAGGACAGACACATCTCCTTGTGCAGAATATAGCTGTTGGTTGCAGCAATGTCTATAAAGTGGTACAGTAGTGTCCTGTACCACCTGTTGGACCTCTTGTGGACTGAATAGTATTGGATGAGCTGGTCTGACAAGTCCACCCCACCCATGTATTTATTATATTCAACCACACAACGAGGTGCCATGATGTTTTGTTTTTGCCATTTCCCCGTTTCCTTAGCATACACATTCCTGGTGACGGTGTCTCCATTGAAGGCTTGGTGTATTGTAGAGCACACTGACACCTCTCTCGTATCCATCCACTTCACAAACAAAAGCTCCTTCTCTCTGAGCCATCGCATTGAGCCCCTGGGGCTCTTTGAGGTTAGCGCATTCAATTTTGATTTAGGCACGTTTTTCCGATTGTCGCGGAATGTACCACATGCCACAAAACCCCTTGCAAATAGGTCAGTAAAAAGTTTTGGGCTGGTGTAGAAATTGTCTACAAAAAGATGGTAACCTCTCCCCAAGTAGGAATTATCCATTAGGCCGCTGACAACATCATAGGAGAGACCCTGCCCTGAAATGAAGCGGCTCTTTCCAGTATAGATGGAAAAATCGATGGTATACCCATTGCTGGAGTCTGCTAACACAAACAGCTTCTC